CGACTCACACCTGTACCCACCAGGTAGGCAACCAACGGCCGAAACTTTTCCCCGGGAATCTACTTTAATGGTTCCAGGATATCGTAAATAAATTATTGCTGCGACCGCGGCGGTCTTTAATCGGACGTGCATAGATATGCCCTTTAATCATGCGACGTAGCATAACGCGTTGCAATTTTCAGCAACGGGATTACGGCATTAAACCGTTCTCTAATACGATTTCTCTCTGCTGGAATATCCAGCCGATAATGGTCCAACGATCTTCGGAGAAACTACCGATCGCGTAGAATCGCCATTTCCTTTCCCCTTCTCGTAGTAGTAGGCTCACGTTTCGAAACTGCTCCACTGCTGTTGTATTATAATTTTCTTCTTTTTTTTTTATATATAAAAATTGCACAAGTGTTGCTGCTTTGATGTGCGATTGCGAATCTTAATCGTAATTCTTCAGGAAATGATGCAAGAATTATGCAGGCAACTTTTCAAAACGACGCGTTTTCTTTTAAATCTACAGTATGCCACAAGTTCCAAATTAGAAGAAACGTAAAAATGTTTCATTTTATTTTATGTTGATGTTGACGATTCGACTTGTGTATATCTTATTTTAAGATGTTAGTGAAAAACAAGAGCACGTGAATAATGGCACTTGATCCTTAGTTAGTTTACTGTCGAATGAAATGCGATTTTCCTTGTCCAAGTTGCATTATTATAACTACTATCCTTACGATGAAACTACATTCTGTTTGAAATTTGAATGTATTAAAGTAATTCTGTTTGAATGTTGTAAAGTATTGCACGAAAGTTCAGTTTTATACGACGTTGAAAAAAAAAAAAATTAATTTCAAGAAATTTTTCGATACCTAATTTCTCGATTACCCACACACATACATGTTGTAATACTATCTTTCATATCACTGTGATATTCTAGAATTCTAAAAAATAAGCTGCATTGTCGGCCAAAATATTAGGGCATGTTACAATTTTGAAAAGAATAAGCAAATTATGACATTCAGTCATTTCTTCTAATTACAATATTCTTATATCAACATTTCAGTCTCACATATTTATGAGATGAAAAAGAAATTTTTTCCAATTATGACATTCTAATTACAATATTCTTATATCAACATTTCAGTCTCACATATTTATGAGATGAAAAAGAAATTTTTCCCAATTATGACAGTCAGTCATTTCTTCTAATTACAATAGCCTTATATCAATATTTCAGTCTCACATATTTATGAGATGAAAAAGAAATTTTTTCCAATTATGACATTCTAATTACAATATCCTTATATCAACATTTCAGTGTCACATATTTATGAGATGAAAAAGAAATTTTTGCCAATCATACCTAAAGAAAGTTTTTGAAATCTTCGAAATCCATCCTAAACACTCGCTATAACACATAAAAAAAAAAGTGCCAACTCTTTATTTCAAGACGTTTCTAATTCGGAAATTATGAGATAAAAAAGGAGTTCTGTAATCTAAGAAAATTCCAATATAGTTTAATTTACCATTCAAAGTTTCGAAATGCCCCTAATTCGTAATTCACTTTCGAAAGATAAGAAAGGAATTTCGCCCGAGGAATAGTTGTAATTGTAAGAGCCTCCTAATTCGCCATAGACGCTCGCTGTATCACATAAAAAGTATACGCACCCCTGGTTTCGAGCGTTTACGTCAACAGCACGTCGACGTCTCTAATTTACG